AATTAGAAAGTCAGCTGTTATTGCAAGTTTAAAACCACATCAAACTGACTTGATAATACGTCACTACGTGGATAAGTTCCAATACCTACAAAAGATTCAAAATATAATTAAGAATGAAAATACCATTTAAAGTAAAATATAAAACAGTTATAAACAAAAGACAATATTTCATTTCATTTAGAAAACAGTACTTTATAAATAAAAGAACGCTGTCCGAAAAGTATTTAAAAAAATTAGTAGCCTATTTCTAAATTACGAACCGTAATTTTGTTATGCAAACCCCTCATTCGGATAAATACATTTTCATATATTTAGACAATTTAATTTATAGATAAGCTTTAAATTGTTATCAATAATAATTATTAGTGAAAAATACAATCACCCACTCAGGTGACACGTGGCCCATGTGTGATGAATTAGTTACGATTGAGGAATGAATTTTTGTGCCTTGTTCAAGGGCGTTTTATGTGTGGAATGAATGAGTAAAACCGCTGAAATCTCAGAACATATGTTGTGTGCTGTCTGCATAGAATTCGGGTTCGTTGGTGCTGAACCAACTTGCTTAGTTGCGTACGCTGCTTACCGGAGCGAAAAGATTAGTGTGTGAAGACCTGGGTACCGCAACTTCAGAGGATATTAAGCCTAAGAAAGAGTGGAATCTTTCCTTCTACGTACCTTGTCTGTCTTTGCGGTCTAAGGTTTAGAAAAAGGGTCAGGTGACACGAAACGATAATAATTTTCATTTACTTTATCATTGTAATTGAACTCCCTCCTGTAGTAACATGTAACAAATTAGTTTAACTACCATGCGAATACTGCTTCCTCAAAAATGACACTGGAATCGAGCGAGTTACTGGAGAAGTGAGTCGGGAGATACTGGGTACGAACCTCGGGCTGGAGGTTATTCTCCTTACGTTTCACATATTTCTCATCAGTCACTTCAGATTAATTTAAGAATTTTATCTTAAAGTAGCCCCCTGCATCTTCGGCTTTAATTTGCTCATAAACATTCGACTAATTCAACAGTAATTGATATAGCGCTGTAAAATGTACAAACGAAAAGCTATAATGGTTATCACTGCCTGAGCGTTGACTGAATTATCGGTCCTGAAGATGGAAATTTACGTATCTGAAAAGTTATTCTTTTATTTCCATAACATAGAACGTATGGTTGATCCTTTAGTCGATAAAGAATACTTTAAACCCTCGACGTACCTGAACATGAGGTGGAGTACCCAAAACATACAAAACGCCGTCAGCGATATCTTCGGCGTTCAAGTAAGGGCAGGCGTCCAGGAAGGCTTGGGGGGGCATTTCTGTCTTCACGAGCCCAGGACTCAGACTCTGCAACATTCGAAATTAGGGCAGTTCAGTATATAAGGCAAACTTCTGCCATGTAACTAATTTGCATCCATTCAGTGGTAAACTCACAGTGACCCTTATTTTTGAGTTCTGCTTCACCAGTTCACGACGAAGTCCCTCAGTCAGCGCTGTGACAGCGTGCTTTGTAGCGTAGTATATGGCGTACTTTTCTCCTGGAGGCATGTGACCAGCAAGACTACGGGTACAAAATCAGAATGAAGTTACACGCCTACTATGCATGAACTAAGAAATCAAACTGATTTACGAAAGCAAACAATCGGCAAGGGGATTCGTGTATCAATATAGATATCAGTAGCTGTTATTATCACATAACAGATTCAGAGATACAAAACTGCCATATAAAATACAATACAGACGTACCTTTTGTTCTGTGCAAGCCAAGGATAGCATGAAGTAAGAAAAGGTGCTTCAGTTTCCAGAATTCCCGTCCGATGACTAGCTGGCTTCATGATGCACTTTGCTTGATTTTTTGAATTAAAGGCTGAGTCACTATTTAATTTGTGAAAGTTACAAATAAAAATATTTGTATTTAAAAATCGGTAACCTGTTAATGTGGATGATGTGTCCGTCGTCCACTCCCCTCTCCTTCATGGACTGGAGCGCTTCTTTGGTGCACACACTAAGACCCAGAACGTTCAGGTCCAACATTTTCTTCATTTCTTCTGTTGATCCATCTATAAGAGAAATAAAGTATAAACGCTCAAGAATTCGGTTGTGTAATTTGTCTTTAGTTTAACAGTAAAGAAGGAAGAAATCAAAAATCTGACCGTCAATATGAGCACTTACTTATGAGGGAAGTATCGTAGCCTGCAGCAGCGTTATTTACGAGGATGTCCACGCCTCCGAGGTTGTCCTTGACCCACTTAAAGGCGCCCTGAACATCAGATTCCTTGCTGACGTCACATTTAACCGCGTACAATTTGCCTTTCGCCGACTTAAGAGATTTGGACAGTTCCTGAAACATGAAGACCATCACCGTTTCCGACAATAGGTACTTTGTTCTTCAAAGGCCCTTGCTGGATTTTAGTCTCAAATTCTTGTGTTATTGAGGTGAATCTAAAATATCTACTGGCGGAATAATGTGTCACTTATTAGAATGGGGGCTAGATTTTATCTCGGAAGCTAAAATGTCTAATGACCGAATGAGCCACCTCAACTGTTAGAATCTCCACCGAATTGAATTTGTTGGTTCATTATCATATTAGGGTCTGTCTTTCCTCGTCCACAAATAAGCCACAACGATTAATCCGTAGCTTAACCAACCTTTCTATTGAGACAAAAAGACATGATTACGGTCCAGATTATTAAATAAATAGTAGAGCTAATTTTGGTGAAATAACTGAGCTGCCAGCTTTTATTAACAGATAACATTACTGTTTTAAAATTAGATTATACTTTGTAGTAATAACCCTGAGACACAAATTTCTCCCACTGGTTCATTGACAGAGTCGAAGATGAGGAAGAGATCACATGACTTTGCATTTGTATGAAAAATTTGATGTAGGCCTCGCAAGCGATTATAAAATCTTTACCTGAATTCGCTCTTGTCTTCTGGCCAGTCCGACGACTTTGAGCCCCTTTTTTACGAGTTCCTCTGCAATGGCTGCTCCAATGCCACTGCTTGCTCCTGTCACCACGGCAACTCGGCCTGACCATCGCTCCATATTTTATTATGTACCCTGGAAGCATATGTTCACTTTCTATAGTAACATTTATAGAACACAATCGATTTGTGAGCAGAATTTCTACGGCCCACTTTGTTTCAAGTACCTCAGTCTATTCACTTGACCTAAAGATGTTCGTGGTATTTATTGAATATTGTGTTTATAATTTCCATTCTGAATTACATGCGTCTTTGTAACTGGTTCTATGTATTTAGACGTGTGTTAAAACGAGATCCTGAATCTCGCTCGACGACCTCAAGGGTAAAATTTTGTGACCCCCGTACAGTAGCGCCAAATCACGAAATCGATAGCTGTTCATTATTTTATAGAAGAATTGTTCGATAAAAGCCGTGCACTGACTGTCGTCGTACTAACATGACATTAACATTAAATAAGATGTCGCGATCTACTTCATGCGTGAATCGGGATATTCCTCAAGAAAAACACTGAAAATCACTGAAGTCACTCGGTCACATTGCTCGTACTCTGCCCGGATTCGAACTGGGCTTCATCCACCCTCAGTTCTTTTTAAAATTTCATACCTGATTGAATTATAATGTTGCAGAATATCACTTCAGTCACGCTGAAGAAATCTAACACAACTGCTCTCAAAACAACTTCTGTCACGTCACTCCTGTTGAGCCCTTCTATATCAAGGCCCTGCCAGCAGTTGCCTCTATCATAGCGTGTGGCGTGGTTATCTATATTTCGTGATATCCTTTCCGCGCTTACGTAATCCACAGTACAAAACAATAAGGGCGGCCGCACACTCTCTGCGTCAAGACAATCATCAAGACATGAGACAAAAGACGCAATTTTGCTTCATTCGTGATTCAGACTCTGGTCCGCACACCGAAGTAGCACGTGTCTGCGTCTTATCATATCTTCTCTAGTTGATTCTTGGAACGGCAATAGCGTGAAACCTAATAAAACAGACAATATAATACGTGCAATCTGTGTCCTTCATAACTTCATCAGGTTAAAGGACGGCTTATTTAGCGAGCAGAGTCTAGGTGAAAATGATGATGACCATGACAAAGGCAGTTGTGAATCTATATTCCAAAACTTGCAGCCCTGCTGCAGAAGAGGTTGTACTGTAGTGTATGATTCTAGACATAACGAGGAAAACCACGCATGAACTACACAGAATGGCCTTTGAATTTCCCTGGAATATCAGGTGTTAAACATTTAGCCTGAAAGCCACCTGTGAGTAAAATATTAATTTAAAGACATTCTACCAACTACTGTGTTTCTGTATCGCAATACAGAGACGACATTCATAATAAGACGCTGTGTCTAAGATGTGATGATTTGTTCCAAGTTTTTTTCGGGATAGACGTTCAATGTCGCGAAAACGTTGGGTCTGAGAGCTCTGTTGGGCCCAAATTCGAACCGAACTTCAACCACCGACAAAACTGTATTACCTGTAGTGTAAGGTCTTAGGTGATTCAAGTATAATGTACACTAATATCACTTCAGTCACACTTACGAAGATAACAGAATTGAACACGCACAAAACTGTGCAGTTGATGTGGCGTGATAGATGGTCTGCTCTCAACTGCTCGTGTGATATCACTTGGTAGTTTTATATAACACACCTCGAAGACGAGATGCACGTTAAATTTAAAGTCCAGTTGCTGTTGTCAGATTCAGTACTAACCTTGTTAACTAGCAAGTCATGTTCTCGATGAAAAAAACGGCTGGTTGTTTAAACAGGGTTTCAAACCGTATAATTTGTAACATTCTTCAAAACATCGTTTTGCAGACGTAACACGACTGCTCTGAAATGTTGCTGAGTAATTCTGGTAAATCATGTGACCTATGTCGTAACATTAGACGTTCTCTGTGTCTCTTAAAGTTCTATCTCCCTGAAGCCATGTCGTAGAATCCGCTTTGTCAAACTAGTATCCGAATTCCGAACCATGGCGTTATAACACTTGTCATCAGCTTGTCTGTAGATGTTTGTATACGTATGTCAGTATTTCTGCTGTCGAGTCTGTTAATTGTCACAACTGCAGTGTTTTACTTGGTACAGGGACAGAAATCTCTCGTTATACGTCGATTCTGTATCCGTTATCCATTCCTTAACGCAATTTTGTTCGTTTCCTTTATCCACCGATTTTTAATAACGCGGCATTCGTAAATATTACTGAACGAACATGGAGTCGCGGCGCACGCTTCACCGTAGACTGGTGATTTTATTTCGTCTTTATTTAACTATTTTGACAATAAAATCATTTGCACAACTTCCTGTCTGTTCACGAGGGTCACAAACGAATGCCAAGAACGAACTAAATTAGTCGCCTGTCCTGCCAGGAATCGAACCCCTGTCAGTTTGCAAAATACCGTACAGGATCTCGGATTTCGACTACCTAAGCATAGACTTGAGGATAATATTAAAATGTTTCTTAAAATAGGGCATGATGTTGTGGGTTGGAATGGACTGACTTAGAATGGAGTCCAGTTGAGGTTTGCTGAGAGACTATCAGTTTCTTAAGTATTCTTCTCCATTGAGGCTGTTCATTCGTCCGTCGGAGATCCATTGGTGTGTATTGTAAGTATGCCTATAGCATCAAGGGGCTAGTCACTTTCACAACCAAGTGCAATCGTGACTCGACAGTTCTGACTTATATACGTATGATGGGGTGTGTCCCTCAGAAACTGCGTGTCATCGCGGTGAGACGAGAATAAGAATATAGCCTAATCTTCGTACGATTTCAGGTTCTAACGGTGACGACTTCACTTCATTCGCGATTCTCCTGTAAATGCGTGGTCATCCTTTTCAAAGACAGCAGGAAGTGAAATCGTGTAGATGTGTCTGTCCATCTGTTTTATAATTAAACAACGACACCAGATTTTATTAGGATTTTCTGAACAAGGGAAGTGAGAGGGGCGTGGTTTTTCTGTAGCTGTGGAGTCAACCGTCTTTCTGTAAATTGTCCGGATCTGACTTTTCCATTCATCATCATGTAGTGCGCAATTTTAAGAATTCATGGAACTTATTTATATGTTTTCATGGAAGATTCTCAAAGCACAAAGTTTATTTTGCATGTTGTTACACTTTACTTTCTTGTAAGCTTTGAATAGCTGGTCCGTTGTAGGACTCACTTCCAGTCTTTTGCAGAACATGTTTAGCAGTTTGGAACAACTTTAGCTTGAAATTACTGTAACCACTTATAATTTAGCTTTCTTGCTTATGCATAAAGGAAATAAGCTTGTCTTATATACACTGTATCAATGTAAATAGCTGTAAATGTGATGTAACTGTTGTCTCGTTACATTCTTCCACAGCGTGCATAAATTATCGGTACAGGTTTGTAATTGTTCTGTTTCTTATACCGATTATATAATCTATTGCATTTTAGAAATACGTCCGAGTGGTCATGTGCTATCTTGCATACTTTGTAAGCAGATCAGCATGTTTAAGATTTACTTAAGTAGTAATTAATTAGTTATTTAAATTACTGTTCTGAAAATGTTATGTGCATAATTTATTTAAGCATTGGAAATAGGAAGGATTTTAAAAGACGTGCTTCTAAGTAGGATTTGAGGTTTTCACTGCAGTGAGTACGAAGATGGATATCTTCTGGGTTGCGGGGACTTTTAGTCTGGTAGAAGGGCAATTATCCCTGATAATGGAGGCAGCAAGGACCTCTGAAACATTGGTAAACTTCTACCAGACTACGCGGCGCTACAACTCCAGAAGACAGACATCTTCAGATATATTTCTGATGTATCTTGAAATTTGCGATTGTTAAAAAAGGGAACTATGTATTTTTATAAAATAAATTTTAGACACAAAAGATTTTAAGTGCATATATATTTAAAATTCAATCATAATGTATGAATATTGTAATGTTGTGTGAATTTTTCCACCCATAAAATTGTAAAACACTGGTAGTGCCTTTTGTCCCCTTGAATTTTGTGAAGTAAGAAACAGTTAGTACCTAAACGTAAGGTAATACGTCATATATCATTCTAGTTTTCCTTATCCAGACCCCAGAAACATTATCTCAGATATCCACTGGATAGGAGGTTGAGTAAAGTCGGTCTGGATATGGTAACGAACACAAAGATTCCTATCGATAATCGAATCCAGACATTCAATCCGTAGCCTAGTTAGCACACTGAATAAGTGATCTAGTTTGTAGTCTCGAAAGAAAGGACATTCTGTCATGGACGCTTTCACTTGCAAATACTCTAAAAAGTACCGGAACACTAATTTTTCTAATGAAGAATATTCTCTCAATGAAGCAACCACCATTTTTAATGTTGGGTTAATGGAAGGTGATCTTCAAATTACGCGTTTTCGTCTTAAGCGGTTGAACTAAAGCGTACAGCTGTAGGCAAAATTCAGAGACGTTGTCTCACCGGCAGAATTGTGAGCTCGTGAATCTGTAAAAGAGTTCATTAAAATCAACACAATAACCAGTTTATGAATGCAGCATTACAGAATTCATTACCAACTTTGAAATCATAATTGTAGAAAAATTATTGTTACTTTTTCAAATCAGATTGACGTTAATATCGAGTCAGAAATACAATTGACACTTGTTTTGTAGATTCTGAATAGGGGTGAATGTATACTTGCCTGGACATGCGGTGGTGTATCCAAAACGTACACAACACTGCCGGCTATATCTTCAGGGTTCAAGTAAGGGGATACTTGCAGTACCACTTTCGGAGGCAAATCCGTCTTCACCAACCCAGGACTGATACTCTGCAAGAGCAGTGCTTTGCTTCAGAATCGCACACACGGAAATAAGTTACGGTTTTCACAAGACAAAAGTGTCTACCCATTCAGGATTATACTTACGGTGACACGTATGTTTGAGTCCCGCGCAACCAGTTCTCGGCGGAGACCCTCGGTGAGGATTGTGATCGCGTGTTTTGTCGCAGCGTACATACAAAAGTAATCCTGCGGAGGTATATGACCAGCAACGCTGAGCGAAGAACAGAAACATTAGTTACCGGGTGGTAAATAAGAGTAATTTTTCGTACTTTACTTTCTTCAAAACCTCCAGCTGGCACTGAAGGTCTTTGTTAACTAGCATCATGAAACAGAGGATTTTTTAAGTGATTTCACAATTCAGAATTTCCTTTTAAAATGATATAGGTATATTAAACTACACAGCCGCTATCAGATTATTAACATTTTTGCATCCATCAAGTCTGTGTTTCTTAGCCTCACTGACCTGTTGATGTTGATGATGTGTCCGTCGTCCACTCCTCTCTCCTTCATGGACTTGAGCGCTTCTTTGGTGCACACACTCAGAGCTAAGATATTTAAATCCAGCATTTTCTTCAGATCCTCTGTTGAGCCATCTGGGGAGAAAAAATTGAAAACGCGTGTCTCTTGAACCCACCTGACGTAGCTGCACGCGTCTATTTTACGTATTGTATTTACGTATGTGAGATTGGATTCGGTCATTATTTAACAGTGGTCTGTTAGAACAAAGAGTTACTGTATTTAACTTTCTAAACATGGACCGTGTATTACCAGTAAGTTCTATTTGCTTAAAGTTGTTACACGTTCTTGATAGAACTTTGAATCGTAGGTAACTCCTGAGTTGGTTAAAATGATATGTTCAGTTTATAATTATATCACAGATAAGGTTTCGTGTTAACTCAACGGAATAAAGCAATCATACAGACCAACTACATTGTTACTATAGTGACTTACCAATAAGAGAGCTGTCAATTGCTACACCAGCATTATTGACGAGGATGTCAACACCACCTAGATTTTCCTTAACCCATTTGAAGGCCAGCGTAACATGGGACTCCTTAGTGACGTCACATTTAACCGCGTACATTTTACCTTTTTCTGACTTGAGAGAGCTGGACAGTTCCTGAAACATGGTAACTATTGTATTCAGACAAAACAAAACATACCTTTAGCGCAGTCGCCAAGTATGACATCTGACCGATTTTGGTGATTACAGGCTTTATTTACAGCAACATCTGACACCACTTAATAATCCACCAAGGATAATAAACCATACATTTCTCGTAAAGATAGCAAAGTTCTTATTTTAATGAGATTTTAGCTTCTCACGGTGGTGGTTGTGTTTATGTTGCTCTTCTGGGCTGTAACGCCGTGTGGACTTGTAGGCAGATACCATCGTGTTGTGACAGAGGAAAATATCGCATCTATATTTAGGATCGAAGTAACAAAAGTGGAAGCTGTAGGTTCCTCCAAAACGATGTTAACCGCCTACAAGAAAATTCTGGATTTCTAGTTTGTGACGCTGTGTGAGCAACGTTTGGAAGGAACGTGTCGCCTCTATCTTCAGGTTGAAGTGTTACGTAGGTTGCAGTGCAGTGTGATCTTGTAGGTGGGCAGTAACGTTTCCAATTTTATGTTTAATTTTATGCACGTTTTTCTCTGAGAGTCGTAACTCAAAAAATAGAAAATGATTCGTGATTTGGAAGCAAGAATGTTTACCTCAACCTTCTCCACTCTGCGCGCCAGTCCGACCACTTTGAGCCCTTTCTTGACGAGTTCATGGGCGATGGCCGCTCCTATCCCAGCACTGGCTCCCGTTACCACGGCAACACGACCTGACCAACGCTCCATTGTTGAGTGCATCTGTTGTAATCAGAATAGTCGTAGTGTATCTGTTTTCCAGTAACACAAATTATGTTGTAAATCGAAATATAATTTTGAGTTTCAAAATTAAGAGAAAATGTAATATGTTAAACACATATGTAACAAGTAATGTATTAGAAACGTTGTACCAAGCTGTTCTGTGTCTTCTTACGAAGTGTGTAACGAAGAAAGGATCGCCGACTGCATCTCGTTGTACTTTTAAGGGTGTGTTCATTTTGTAGCAGTGTTTGTTAAGTGTCCGCATGCTATTCGTAACATTTTATTTGTCATTAAGCTGATTAAGATGATAAATACACACTTCATGTTTAATGAATACAGTTTACATGTAAAAACGTATCCAAGGTTAATGGCACTGTTGGGTTATATTAATGAAGAAGTGGAAATTATATCCTCAGCGGAAATGTACAAATCAACGTCTGAATAATTCCCAACATTGTAGAGTAATCCGACCTATCTTCAAGAAATTTACCGCATCATTTTACCCTGGCTTGAAAGTGGGAATGAAATTCGTACTTATCATTTTCTCCGCGTTTCATCAGACTTACGTAAATACGCGAAATTTCGAGTACAAATTAATTTATTTTTTATCATTACTGGAAAGCTGGAATTCCCACGGGATATCTGGAATTATGCAGCTCTCAGTAATGATACTCATTAATGTAAACTCCCAATAAACATATATTACAGCACAATAAGAAGTAGTGGTTAGTTACAGTTTCAGTAGCTTGAGACATGTTGAGTTACTTTACTAATTTGGTGCTCATTTATGCTAAAAATTTTCAGAGAACTGCCAATGCAACGAATGGAATTGAGAAAATAAGCATGTTAGCAATGAAGGAAAATCAATATGTTAATTCATTTCTCAAAGGACGCTTCTAAAGTTCTGTCAGTAACTTCTGTTAAAAAAAATGCCGAAAGAATATTTTGGTAACCAAATGCTACAGTATTTCTTTTATCATCGATCGCTATGCGTCAATAATTCCGCCCTGCCCACGGCACACATTCAGGAGACAGAAAATGAACACCCTGTGTTAAACACGTTGGGTGATGCAACCATAACGTTACTGAATCAGACTCATTATCAACTGCAACTCATTTGCTTCAACGATAGATGCAAATATCATAATGCGATAAAATATGAACATTTATATTCCCAAGTTGTTGCATATTGTTCCCCGTTTCATTGCTTCAAGTGTCTAGTTTCTACATTGTAAAATGACAGGATGTAAATAAATGTTAATGACATAGAAGGAAATTCAGTGTGATACAAGTTTATCGCTTCTCAATTTAATGAAGTAAGTCGAAGTTTTCACACTGGGGAAAAAAAAAAATAAAGCGTTAGATACACGTGACGCCTGGGGACCGAGGGTCCGAATAACTATCCTTTACGTCTTTCGATTTTTTTTTCATAAAATCGTTTATAAATAGAATTAAAGTCAGACATAACCTAAGTGTTAAAATAAACGTTTAAAAATTAGCCGATTTTTTACATCTAATCATACACAAGATGGTTGTGTACCGATGTTCTTTTATACAAAAATAGATGTTGAAGTACATAAATGTAGTTGTGCAGATCTCTGTATGTACGAATTGTTACAGAAATACCCGGTGGATGTAAACAGGAAATAGAAGCATGTTAACCTAGGCTGCTTATCTAGAGGGATACGAAGGGGAAGAGGGGAAATACAATTTTGAGGCAGGTACAGACAAGAAATGTCCATTCACTCAGTACGATAAGAAGAACATCCAGAAGTTCCATAACAGAATCATTTATTTTCTTTGATAACGTCAACAAGCAAGTAACAATGTTTTCTAGACAGCCGTAAAGAATTTAGTAAGTTTCCAACTCCATTTTCTTTTTAATCGCAGCTGTAAATAAATGAAAGTGGAAGGTTGTATTATTTCTCTTACATTTTTTCATCACAGTGAAAAGATCCAGTCCTTCAAAAAGGGCTAATATAGCAGTTGATCCAGTAGACTAAGTTTTTTGGTGTATCTAAAGATGACACGCCTGTTAAATACTAAACGTGCTGGTAATATATTATGTATTTTGATGCCGGTGCTGTTAAAGATGGGTAACTGTGACTCTCGAGACATAGATATGGAATTGAACGGCACGCCGAGACATTTGTATAAGAAATTCCTTACTGCAACAGTAACAAACATTTTTTGAACAGCTGATATTAATATAATTTGCAAGTGGTGTGTGAAACGATAACGTTTATATTCTATAAAAATCTTTGTGGTCTCTGGCTTTGCTGCTTCGTTTTCAGTATTTTTATAGCACAAATATTATTCCTTGGCGTTATATGCGCCTAAGTCATCTATTTTATTAGGTTATGATATTTACAAGGCAATAAAATGTTTCCAGAATACGGATTGCTTCTTTCGGATAATTGAAATCAGACGATATTAATATTTTAGTTATCATCTCGAAACATTGAAGGTAATTTAAGAAAATATACATAACGCGATGCATTCTTGTGAATTTATAATTTATGACATCCTCAAAATAATATACATAATCCAAATCTTTTGAAAGTAATATCTGAAGCGTTGTTGTAAAACGCGTCTGAAGTAAGCATATTTTGAAAACCATTGCTTAGATGACCTTTTTTCGGCTAAATTAAAAACGAAGAACATGGATCCTTTTCTAGAAATCTAAGATCACGAGTGGATGGGGATACCGTACCTGTGTTTAATGTATCGTGTCGCCATCTCGTAGATAATGAGGTAACTATAATATTTCTGTTAAATGAAGTTGGCCTTGAGTTAATTTGCAGGACCTGCTACGAGTCTAGTCTGAGAGGACTGATAAGTATTTACTAATTAATGTAGCTGCTTTTAGGTAAGATGTGTGAACATATAAACAGGCATATTTTATTAGTTTGTGGTAGATTTTATGGCAGGAAAATATTATTAAAGGGAACATTATTGAAGATGTTTCTGGAATACTCGAGGAACACATTTCCGAAGGCTCTCTCCAACGCCGGCCTGAGTTCGGTGAATATAACCTCCCAATTCTCGTTCAAGAATGTGTTCATCGTGTCACCTGTAGACAAAACATTGGTTTGCTTTCAGTATGTCCAATTATATGACTTCGGTTTATGCAAATGGTTTCTTTCTGGTTCAGTCTCCATATATCTCGAAAGAAGGATAATATTTGTTCCTCTGGTCTTTCTATAGAATGAGTCAATTTTTGTGTTAAGCTTATTAGAACGGCCAACACACTTAAACGAGAAACACGAAGTGTTCTGTTTTGCTTTCGTATTCACGAGCAGAACATGTGTTCCTTCTGGAACGTTAGTTCGCTTCGAAATCGTTTGCTGCCGTCTGTGAAACATTTAGGAACGTGTATCCTGACAAGGAATTGTTAAATAAGACAAGAATGCACTGACTGGTAACAAATTTCTTCGGGAAGGTGGTGGATATTTCTAGCATCCACTTTGTGTGACTTACCCAGGGCCTTGTCCCCGTTGAAGAGGTTCTTGAAACTAAGATGCAGTTTCTTGGTGCTCATGTTGATTATGTACTTTTCAAGATCTAAATACGTCTCTCCCCCTCGGGTCACGGGTTTACCCCTGATGTCATGGATCGTGGTCAGCGAGTCTGTAATGAAACAGGAGAACGAATCTTGGGTTGTCGGCGAACACTATTTGGCCTTGCCATAGTTCAGGCGTTGGCTGAGTGAGTTTAGTGACGTTCGTGTTTGGACTAAATGGCAGTGGGGCAGAATTTTCTTTGATTCTAGCACTCTGCGGTAGGTTCCGGTTTCAAATCTTGTCCTGCAGATCTGTTGTGCCTGCAAAGGTTTGTTATGGTTTTCGTAAGTCCGTCCAGCCAATGCAAGGACAGTACCTTAAATCAGACCACGTCGCATACCTTCCATTTCTTTTCCAATTAATTTTAATTAATCCTGTTTGACGCCCTATAGTCTGAGCTACTTAAAGCGTCGTTAATAAAATCTGTCTTGGCCGCTGGGCGGAATTGTGATCGCCTTCGTGATGCAGGACACCAGGGAATTAATTAATTAAAAAAACAGCGATGAATCGCTGACTTACCCAGTGATATGACACATCTGCCTTTCCCTTTGATAGGCAACACAAGAACCTGTCCGTCCATGACGTAGTCGGCTTCGAACTTGAATTCGGGCGTCAACGATTCCGCCTTCATCTCATAGTTGTTCAGTCTGATACAGAAAAAAACAAAAACAAAGTGGTATAATGTGAGGAAGATCACTCAGTGACGTAACGTCCATGATCTAGAATGTGATCTGAACATAACACATGTGAAGTAACATTTTGAGTAACTTATAATTTAAGGGTGTAAAATCTTTTTATGTTTAGAAGTATATTCAGATTTATTTCAACCACATTCTCGGGTGTTATACTTATAGAGGAATTCTGCAACGGTTAATGTAACTTATCATGTGTCCCTAGTTGAAAAAACAGATTTTAAATGTTCACGTTTAGGCTAGGGAAAATAATTATCTGGCAGTCAGAGAGCGTCAACCCATAACCGCCTGTTAGGTTGATTTTGAACGCTATTCTAATTCTAACCATGTTAATGAAACAGGCATGGCTTCATCATTACAGGAAGAACATGCCAACGGCATCAACATATTCACTGGACTACTTCATGGCAGCGATGTCTGCCTTTGTATATTCTCTGTATTCGCTGCATGTAATGAAGCAGCTTCGTAAATTGACTTGTGCCCAAGTGCCTTCTATAGGAGGAGACAATACATATATGAACTCACGCGAATTTCGTGACGCTCGATTCTGGGATGCCATAGATCTTGAGATTGGTGAATTGCAGCTTCACTGAGACTGGACCACGGCCCCCTTGATCTACCTTGACCTCCTTAACAAACATGGGTTCAAGCGGCCCCAAATTCAAGGATGGAATTCCTAAAGAAATAGAATTTTAACGTAAACTGTCATTGAATCCGTCCAATGCTACATTTGGCCTGTCAAGTTTCTGTGCACTTCGGGGAAATTTATGTAGAACGATCTCATGCCCCGGGCAACATTAGGAAGCAGTAGAGGATTTCATAAATCACGGAGGACAAGTGGATAAAGATATTGGATTAAGCTGGCAAGACTAGCATTTTTTTTCTTTTAAAAAAAGTATTTTGTACCAACTCTCCACACGTAGAACCAACGTAATACAGAGTGTGATTGGCTTAGAATTTGAAGATTTCCAAACTTCCTACAGTAGACCTGTTAAAGTTTTGATGACTAAATATTGTTGTTATAAGAGAAATAAATAAGATAATAATAATAAGGAATTCAGGTGTACCAACCTGTTGTACCAATCCTTTGCAAAGCGTCCTGCACAGCAACCTTCAAACAGCTGCTTGTTTCGGGTTCTGTCACGTGGCATAGCTTGAATTGGTCAGCTGTGAAAAGCAAAGAATTTGCTTAAGATGCGTTGTTAACTACATGATGTACTGAAATATAGTGAAAGTGTTGTTGCAAGATTTATAAGTGGTTGGGGAGGGGAGGATTTAATATTAACTTCGATGCTGGTTCTGTAATATTTTGAATGTTTGTGCAAATTAAGTTTGTGATGTCATAACAAGACTTTCATTTTCATAACTAAGGTTTATTGGGACGGTATTTTAGTCTCGTATTATTCGCATATTTACCAATCGCTTGTCGTGTTACCGCACTGTGAAACATTTGTTACAAAACTCAGACAACTTGGAGGAAATTTGAGTGAATTAACATCATCCTACCCTTCCTCATACTCAGAACGAATTTCTCAATACTCGCCCGGAATCGACTACTGTCCGCGGTCAGCCATCCTGACCAAGATGTATTCATAGTTGTCGGAAGAATTCCACTACAGTTTGAATTATTTTATCATATGACGTTCAAATAACCTTTTATTATCAAATGTTTCAAAACTGACTCATGATAAAGATATGTTAGAAAAGTGCAGATAATAATGCCAATACATTTTGTAATTTTTTTAAAAAATATTTTTCGATATCTGTATGTATCTAAAGAATGCCAAAATGATGTTTTAACTGCTGGTATCTCAGTTGTTGATTAGTTCTTCAACAATATAACAATACCTGGGACCACCAGTAGTATTTCCTACAAAGTTTAAAACTGTTTAATGATAAAAAATATAATCTAACTAGGCTATCTGTCACTTTGTTCCAAAATTTGCGTCTTCAGAATCTTACAATGTGGAATTAGAGCTTTAATTTTGTCTCAATTTTTTCCGAAGTTAATAAAATGTGGGTTAGGCCTCTGTTGCTCCAAGGTCTTCACTTGTTGACTGTATGAAGTGTAGAATCTGTCCTGCAAATTAGCTGCATAAACAACAGATTAGCAGGCCTGTCCTAAGAAATGAAAATCAAGACCAGTGAACTACCAACGTCATAAATGAAGAGTTTAAAGAAGTTTACTTCAAAGCGCAGTTACCTTTTTTTTGTAATCATACGTCTCGTTCGAGTTTTTAGAACCCCAGATTCAAGTTTTGGAGATCCTGGGTTCAAATGTTAGCCCTGACACCGCCAGTTTTCTGATCGAGTTTTTCCGTGGTTTCCCTCAGTCCCTCCAGGCAAATGCCAAGATTGTACCTTAAATTATGCAATTGATTGCTTCCATCCACAACTTTAATTATTAAGTTTTCATTAGTTACCCTATTACTCGATACCATTTGTCGTATTATCTGAAAACATCGTTAACGCTTTGAGGCCGGAGCTAGTCTAAATAATATTTAAGAATTTAGTACGTACCTCAAAGAAAACACAACACTTCTCCATTACAAAGACAAACTGGTTCTTGCTGTTTAAGGAAATTGTTTCTGTTTATTCTGAGAATAGCTAGAATCACATAAATGCACTCTGTGAACCAAATACACAGTTGTTGATCGTTATGTGGTTACCAGTGAGCGGTTAAGAATTAAATAACCCAAGAAAAATATTAATTAACTCTTTGTTTTGTTTTATGAGTAATGGCTGCTCGAATACGGAAATTATCTTTTCGTAATGGATGTAATTTGTTGCGAGAAACGAAGACAGGCAACTCACGTAGGTTGGCTCCGACGGTGATGTGCAGCAGGGTCAGAAGGATAGCCGTCTTCTTCATTGTTACTGTTGACAGCTTGAGATTCTTGCGCCTTGTGACTTCTGAAAGCTCGGCGTCACTTATATAGACTGCGAAACGTCACACAAATAGAAGAGACTTTCTCGCACAAGACTTCGAAACCGCCAAGGTTAAGTAAGAATCTTCGTTGCTTGAGAAGTACTTGAGCATACTTAGGCCTGTATGATTGTCATGGAAACGAAGCTGCTCCTGTGTTATGCCACAAACTTCAGATTGCGGTAGGAAATTTGTGATGAGCAGTTTTCTTTGTCGTAAATATGATAAATATATTGTACGTTTCGAAAGTATTTATCTAAGAACAAAACACTGTATTTTCAATTGAGAAATATGTCACTAACTGATTAAAATTTCTCGGTCTTCCAACTTCACATTTTCCAAGAGATTTTCGAACCAAAATTCTGCCTGCATTCCTTGTCTTACCCACTTTAGTCACGTGTCTAGACTAACATTTCACTTTCCTAAGAGTGTTAGGTGTCCCGTAAAAATCATGAAGTTTTTCGTTAATTTACATCAGTTTCTCCTCTCTTCATCTTCCTCAGGACGAATTATATTCCTCAGTACTTCTTTAACGCACTTGTAATCTGAGTTACTTCCTCTCGTTTCTTACGCATATAGAAGAGCTGGCAACATTGTTATATTATATTATATTATATTTATATATTTGCGAACTAAATAACAATCTGTAAGACTTGAGGTTCTCACAGCGGTGAATATGAAGATTTCTGTCTTCTGGGTTATTGCGCTGATGACGGAGGCAGTATGACCTCTGAAACGTTGGTTAACATCGACCAGACTACACAGCGCAACAACCCAGAAGACTAACAATCACTTACGGAATTTATTTTACACTTAATTTCGTGATAAATTTCATTTAAATTCGTTAGCTTTGAATTCAGGTACATTCTGAAACATTTTCAATTATTTATTATATATAGTTTTGTTGTGGATTTTTTTGTCTATATTTGTGTCATGTTCAAATATTTAGTTCTGTATTTATTTATTTATTTAACTAAGCATCGGATTTATCGATGCTGTAATACAGGTACTTAATTAAACAGGCATAGTAGATAATATTTTAGTAATCGAAGAGCTTCTGTTCTGTTCGAAAGTGTGACTACAGTAGCTCGCTTTTGGACCACGTTTAGATCCTTTTTAACAATAATAATCCGTCATAATCATTTACAATAAAATTCACAAGTAAATGGCGCCTCCTAATGCATAAGGTGTTAAAATTTATTGGATCTACTTTGTTTTTCTCAGTAATTTATAGTTGATCTTCCATAAACACATATTTAAATTACATGTTATCTGGCAATTATCTTATTTTAGGGTAATCAAGAATTACTTGATCATGAACTAGATAAATGGTTTTGTGTAGTGTTTGGTATTTTCTTCGTATTGGTGAGGTACGCGGTTCGAAACCCTGTTAAGAGACAGATCACAGTACCTAAGTACTAATAATATCATTTGTCATTTGCTTACAGTTTTTAAAAAAACCATTAAATAAACCAGTAGCCCATTCATTTAACAAAATAGTATTTCGAATAAACTCGCCTGTGTGTTGTCAGTGAGATTTGATTCGCATGGTACAGCATATGAAAGCACCCTACAGCAACGATTTTGAATTTACTTTTCCCGATCAAGCTGAGTTTCCATCACAGAAGGTCAAAGGATACGTTGCCCACAAACAAGCACGTGTGTGTGCCTAGGGCCCTTACATGTAGTCACGTATAGCAGTTGTTTGTTGATTGCAGAAGACAGGTTGTGAAATTCCAAATTCCCTTCCACTACCGCCTGCTTAACGGACTCCTTTTCAGTTCAGTGTTTTTGGGTCTACTCCGGAAGTTACCAGGAAAATTTAATTTTGGTTTGTATTAGCACAATATAACTAATACTTACATGAAATTCAAAATTAAATATTTGTGATTTTTCTCGAGAAGGATCCGCCATAAAAAAGTTATAAATATAACATATATGCAGTGGGTTTCTATTAACTGGCGTCAAGGGAATCTAGTGGTGGGTTATGTTGATCGAAAACCTAACCCAAACCTAAATTATGTCCTTCACTTGCAGAAACGTCAAATGAATAAAATGTAATAAAATACATTTTATGTCTGTTAATAGTTTTTTTTATCATAACGGGAATTTTGAGATTCCCAGAAATAAAAGGCGGTTATACCGGAGAGTGGGTTAAGAGACAGTCGACTGTGTATAACTTTAACACATTAAGATTTGAAATTTTTATTTAAGCATTTTTTTTTCTAAGTTATGTTGCATATCCAACCACATACACGAACGAATTAATTGAGGCATTGTCCCGGCATTTGGTTGGAGGGACTTTTGGTATACTTATAAGCAACTTAAATCAGTATAGCCAGTCTCCGTGCCGAGTTACGAACCCGGAACTTTCGGAATACATCACGACTTTTAGTCCTTACCGGTTATATATTATTCCGGATAGCGTGACCCAAAATCAGATAGAAGCAGCAATTTAGGTCTTGTCTCAGACACAGGATTTATGTTTTATAACCATTACTATAGTCTAGTGTATTCTGTGAATTATGAAATGGAAAAAAGTAACCTCGTAAGGAAATGAACCTTAGTACGCCCTCTTACGATCCACAGCTACTAGACCTTTGTGTACGGATCTCCCTCTTCAATCACAAGCAGAGAAATGCAGCTTTAATCTGTTGAATCTTGTAGTAGCATTTTGTTATACTCGACTCTCGACGTTTCAGACTTCGGACTGCACCTACAACACCTGAAACTTGCTCTATGGTCAAAGTTTGTGATAAATTTGTCACGTTTCCTCAGCAATATACCATGAAGCCAATATCAACATCTCCACCGCCGTACGAACCTCAAATCTTATTGTCTGCAAAGTGTTTGCGAGCATCTGCAGTGTAAATATGGCAAATGCACCTAAGACCTTTACCTTGAATGTTTGGGCACTTAAAAAACGTCTGTATTGTGTCGGTGAAGTATCAAGGGAATTTTAAGGACACAGTCGACCCACCACACGTCATATCTCCATTAGTTGAAGACAGCACTGCCTAACAGCCCTTGAATTTGTGATATCGAACACTTACAAAATGTGCAACTGCGGGCATGAACTAACTGTGTCTCTTTCATTTGTTATAGAATCTATCACGATCTAGCTGCTGGATCACCACTGTTTCAGCGTTGGTTGTGTGCATAATTGTTCTGTGTCTATTTCCATACCTGAATATGCAATGCTTCGTAAGATTTGAGGTTCACAAGGCGACGAGTAGGAAGATGAGTGTCTTCTCGAATGTTATACTGCGTCGTCTAGTAGATACTGACCGCCGACGTTTTATAGGAGCTTACTGCCCTGATGTTGCGAGCACTATGCTCCTCTGAAACGTCAGTCGGTATCTGCCAGACAAACAGTGTAACATTCTAGAAGACAGCTCTTCGTCCATAACAAATATTTAACTTCGGATGTATAGTTAAGAGACACCTGTACTTCTGTATATATTTATTATTTCAGTCTATACACAAACTTAGTTTTTAAAATGTTGTTGTTAAAATTAAAATTTAGCGCTTTTCATCGTTATTTCGATGTTACATTTCAGCGCATTATTATTATTTTTTACGACATGTTTCGATGCTATTAAGATGAAAATAATAATAAAAAACCTGAGGATGATGCAATAGCATCGAAACATGTCGTAAAAAAAATAATAATGCGCTGAAATGTAACATCGAAATAACGATGAAAAGCGCTAAATTTTAATTTTAACAACAACATTTTAAAAACTAAGTTTGTGTATAGACTGAAATAATAAATATATACTGAATTTTAACACAAACATGACGCATCTAAACTATAAACCTGTACTTCTGTTTTGTTGTATAACCAGAATTATATCGGATATCTGCTCGGTATGCGTGGCGTCGTTTAAACATTTGAAGGTAACAAACAAATGTTCCGCCTGACTTGAGTCCTGTCTGTGTAACAGAAAACGATAACGAAGGGTTTAAGGCCAATGTGCATGCGGTATATTAACACCTCCATTACCTTGAACATAGCCAGATAAGAAAGTCACTTTGTTTGATTCGTCATAAATATTTACAGTAAGGGTTTCCTAACCAGATGCCACTGAATATAGAAAGAATGTCGACTGAATTCATAGTCTGACTCATACACACACACACACGCCATGTCTCAAAGGCTGGCTGTAAGTGCGTTTGTAGAATCAACGTGAGCCCATATTTTGAGAGAATGTGGTGAATGTATCGTTTCCTACAAAAATCACATCAGTTCAAGAATTTACTGGCTAAACGACGTGCCTTTGACACATGTTATTTAACTACTATGTTGTGGTTATGACCATGAATTCTGAGTTGGTACGATTTTAGAAGTTGGCGGTCGTGGCTTACTTGAAAGTTCTGTCTCGAAATTCGCTTCGAGATACTGAGAATAATCACAAAAATCATTGGTCTGGAGAGCTGGTAACGAAATTTGTAGCGGTAACACCC